ACCATAACATAAACAACCACAACCAAATTTAGTTCTCAACAATCTGAATCACAATCAATAATAAAATATTATCATATTATTTGATAGTAAAATTTAGAACAAGCAAACCCGAATCCACACTTAAACAATTCGAAATCATAACACATGCAAAAGCTAGGAACACTAGCAAAGTAGGGTTAGGTTAATCCCTAGGTAAATCCTATCGGAGTATCACTAAAATTTAACCACATGTTTTTTATGATTAACATGTATAATTCATAAAGTTTCATGCAATTCGACAATCCTAACTCTTTATTTGGACTATGTCACACCACCTAAGCTTAAAATAGCAAAGAGCTAATTTTTAGTTTCTTTCAAAACTAAAATAGTCGAAGCTTCTTTTAATAAATTTAGTTTAATTCAAGATTCAATTAAAAGATAGATGAATAAGAACTAACTTATGAAAATAGACTCAAAACTTGGATCTATACACTAAGGAAGTAAGGATGCAAATACATCACCTTGATTCTTTGAACGTGGATGATCGTGTCACCACCTTTAGTGGTCAATGCTAAGAATAAAAACGTATTCTATATTATGCAAGAAAAACAACTTAATTTAGAGGAGAAACTCTCTCTATAATTTTCAATATCAAAACAAAATTGTCCGACAATGTAAAAAACATAAAGGTCTAAAGTTGACTGGGCCTAAAATTTGGGTCGAACCTTACTTTGTCGGTGTTCCTAACTTTTGCATCCGTTGTGATTTTGATTTGTTTGGGGGTGAATTTGGGTTTAATTAAACCTAGAAAACCCTATCAAAATATCATTAAAATTTAGCCACATTTATTTTATGATTAACGGATATCATTTACAAAGTTTTATACTAGTTTGACAACCCTAACCCTTTATTTGGACTATGTCGCACCTCTTTAAGCTTGAAATAGCAAATTTTTGTTTCTTTTGAAACTAAAATAGCCTAAATCTTTTTTTAATAAATTCAGTTTAATTCAAGTTTCAATTTAAGGATAGTGAATCATAACCTATTTGTGAAAAAAAAGCTAAAATTTGGGATACATATGCCAAAAAATCAAGGACATAAATACACCATATTGATTATTTGAATACGGATGATCATGTTGCCACCTTGGGTGATCAGTGACAAGGATAAAAATGTGTTCTATATTATGCAAGAATCTAGATTTAATTTAGAGGAGAAACTCTCTATATAATTTTTAATATAAAAACAAAACTATTTGACAACCGCCGAGAACAAATCTTATATGGTCGGGTAAGTTTCGGCCAAGCCTAAAATTTAGGCTCGGAAACACAAGCTAGGCCAAAAGTATATGGTCCTAAAATAAATAAATAAAAACCCAAATAAAATAATAATCCACACTCAACAAGGATGAATTAAAATATTCTAACATAAAAATAAATAGCATAAAAATAAAAGATAATCAACTCAATAACTATAGGCATTCGATAAAGTCTTCAATTGCTCTTTGGAACTTTCAACCACTAGCTTTGTAGAAGACACTTCTATGTCACTTAAGGAAATCTTTCTTAATATGTCTCTATTTTCTATACGATGCTTATTGAATACACCAAATTTAATTTACTTACTATCTTTACCAATATTTGTAGTGTTGGTGAGTTCAAGTCGAACCCTAGAGACTAGTAGAATGATTTTGTTATCTTTAGAAGAAGGGGGTTTTGTTTGTTTAATTGAATTATAAAGAAAGAAAGAATAAAATAAGAAACACTTTAGTTCAAGGATTCAAACATTCAATTTATGGAATGATCATCGACACCTAAATTACTATTTGTTTTTTATTAAATACTTAGTCTAGATTTACCTAGATGCTAGAATAAATCCGAATCTTCTCTAAATTCATTAACTCAAAACTTTGTGCCAAAATCAAATTCTTATTATTAATTGATTTTGGTATTAAAATAAGCATAGTCCGATAATAGTATTAAGAATTAGGAAGGTAACTAAGACCGAATAATAATTTTAGGATTCCTAAATCATTTAATTCATCATTTTATTTTTCTTAGGTAATTAAACCTACTTGTACTAACTTTTCTTAACGAGTTACGGATTAAGAGAGTTGGCTAGCATTCAATCATAATAAATAATCAACTAATAGGCCTCTTAGATAATTACCAATGCAATCAAGATTAATTAAATTTAGAGATTAATTAATTAAGCTAAAAAAAGATACACAAATCATTAAGAATAGTTTAAAGATCAAACTCGTATCTCATAGTCTTTTGTAAATTGAAGTTGAAATCCCTTGAACTAAATTGATGAAATTAGTCGGTTATTATTTGAAGCAATAAACCCTAAATTATATAAAAGAAAAGTGTATATAAAGCATCTTCCTATTGTTCAAACCTAAAGGTTGTTTACACATGTCAAGATATAAATATGACAATAAACAAAGTACTATTTAAACTTGTTTTCGAAATTGACTAGGACTTATTACGGAATAGTACTCTAGGTTATGTGCTGAAATTTACGAATTAATTTAAGGTCGGAAGGTAGTAGAATCCGAACTTGTGCTCTTCATAAAGATTGTAAGTGTGATCGTATTATTTCTTTGTACTTTTGAATCATCTTAATCCAATACTTATAACTCCACACATGGTCCAAACACTAAGTAGTGTTCTGGATTGACTCGAGATTCGAATTTCTTCTCTAATTTTTAACCGAATTTAATAACAAAAATAAATGGATTTGCTTGTTTAAACCCAATATGAAATGGTTAATATGTCTACTTTGATTCTTAAGAAGGTCTCTTTTACTTTCTAAAGCTTTAAAGATGTGAAATTCTCATTTTTTTCCTCTAAAGGTCAATCTATTAGTATTGAAATTTGCCTAAATTAACACACTTTTGCTCATTTAACTCCAATCATCTCCTAAATCACAAAATAAACTTAATTTAGCATACCCTAAAATCACATCCAAAATACTAAATATAAGAGAACAAATATCATCAATAATACTTATTATCACTATAGAATAAACATTTATTATTATTGTTATTTTGCTTCTTAACATATTTCTATGTTTCTTCACTTTTAAGAAATTTTTACCTTTTTCAACATTTTTTTTTTTAGCTTAAGAAACCAAATGAGAACTTTTAGGTTTTACAAGTTTCAATCTTCTTTTTTCTTAAACCCATAAGGTCAATAGTTTATTAATTGATCATTTTTCCTTATCTTTGTTATAATCTTAAATGGATTATATTTCACAAGGAGATAGTTTAAAATGAAACGAACCAAGAATGACACAAAAATTTTCACCTCTAAAGACTTTGATTCAACAACAATGTCCTTCATTTCGATAATGTGCTTACACACACTTTTAAAATAGTCAAATAACTAATTTGAAAGCTTCTTTGTTAAGGTTCTGACTAATGCCTTATCAAAACAAACAAATTGTTCCTCTAGACAAAGGTTACATTATACATAGAATTCACTAATTCTTTAATAGTAAACCTAATAAATAAAATACTAAGAATAAATTTTGTTCACACCCGAGGAATTTCTTAATAACAATTTATTAAATTATTCTAATTAATTATAAAAATAACTATCTCTATGTAGGATCAAGTCATTATTTTTATGAAATCATTGCAAATTTATTTCTACATATTATGAACATATTGATTTAATTAAATTTTAATGTAATTATCAAAATAACTTAAGATGATGTATTTCATGTTAAGTCAATTGACATAATCATCTCAACATAGAATGTTTTATCATCAATTTAAAATTTTATGTCGATGTATTAAACTAATTATGTAAACCGTACCATGATTTTTCTTTAACAATTTCATGTATATAAATATGTTAATAAATATCTAGAATATTTATAAAACTTTAATAGAAAATTGTAACAAATAAGCAACAATTTATGGTTCCATAGATAACCTGTTGAGACCAACAATTATTTTGAAACAAGAATGTATTTTTGGATGATAATTAACTGATTAATGACGATCCCAATAGAGGTCCAGTACCAATTCAACATCTCACTCTGTCTTTTCCATATCAAACAATGGATATATCAGTATTCTTCTCATTATTGTTCCCTTCCACTGTCAAATCACTTCTTTTTTTTTTTTTTAATGTGTAATATATCCAGATATAATTAATTAAAAATTTCAATACAATTAATTTCATGAGTGGAGTAACTAGACATACATATGTCATCTCTTTAAGAAAATAAATAAATAAATAAGACTCGAATCAAAAACGCCATATATTGAATGGGAGTTTTTATTTATCCTAAGAACCAATCCTTTAAGAGCAACAGCATGCCAGTTCATCCTGTTTCTTTTCTTAATTTCTTACAACTCACCATAAGTCTCTGCATTTTCGACATCAAAGAATTGACAGATCAAAGAATATCTTTCGATAGAAAGTTCAATTGATGTGATTTGCTTTACATGATAGGCTAGCTATGTAATTGTGAAGGTTTGTCATCATATTTTTTCGAGCATTGATAACTCTTGGTTGGTGACCTAACACATGAACACCTAATCATCCGATGAACAAATCAATGGTTATAAAAATATGAAGAGAGCATCATTAATTCTCGTTCAAACCAGGAACTGCACTGTTGATACTAGGTAATCCATCTTACAGTCATTCTGTTTGTGGTTAAAGCTCCCATAAAATTGAGGCCAATGGAAACTATCAACTTAAATAATAATAATAATAATAACAAAAAAAAAAAAAAAGGAACTGTAATTGCAAGACTAGTTAAAATTAGATATATTTCATCAAATGTTTCACAAATTTGTGTACAAGGAAATTGACAATTTACATGGGCAGATCATACTGTATCCAATGAAAAATGGTAGACAGAAAATAAAAATATAGAAAGTAATTTAATAGCTTATGATACAGAAAATCCTTCACTTGCAATTAGAATCTATACACCCCACAATGATACCTAAAAAAACTCTGGCTCGTCCAGTTCTTTTCAATATTTTCACTTGAAGTTCAATAATTCCAAAGGCAATCAAGGTCAATTGGTATAGCAGAACTTAGTGGATCCTCTGGATCCACAAAGGACTTTTGAACCAATTCATGGTTGGTTACCACTGAAGACATATCAGTACTTAGGCCAGTGTCCTGTGAAAGCTCCCTTTTTGAGTTTAGGTTCATGTTTGGTCCAAGGTTTTCAAGCAACATCCTCAATATGGAGGAGTGTTCTGGCATCGTTACAGAATTTGAGTATGGAAAATTTGCCATGTTTGGTAAAATCTGAGAGGAATAGCAAAAGTTTGAAGGTGAGGTTTTTGAAAACAGAACTGAGGCAGGGGACATGTTTGAAGAGGACGAAGGAGCTAAAAGAGAAGTGTTAAAGCCATCAACAATAGCTTCTTGGGGTTTCTGATCCTCCATTGGATGGGAGAAGCAGGACACGTGAGACTTATCACCGATGTTAGTCCACTTGTTGCTATTTTGTGGAGAAGAATCCATCAATGGAGGCAATATTGATGGCTTTAATTCATCTCCATAGGAGCTTAACTTCACTAACCCTGAAATATGTATTTTCTTTCCTCCAGAACTCTTCTGAAAAACTCTACAAATGACCCACTCTTTCTGCAACAGAAGCCAAGGAAAAAATCATCAAAATCAACACCAATAAGTGTAACAAAATCAAAACGAAACAGGGGAAAACAGGGGAAACAGTGGTAACCCTACCTTTGCTGTTTTAGGGAGATTATAAACAGAGTATTTTCCCTCTAATCTATACTCATGCATGACCCAGTTGGTTTTTCTCCTCTAGGAGCTCTCCCTTTGTAGAAAACCAAGGTCTTCTTCATACCAACAAGTGTTTTAGCCTTGTAAATTTCCTTGTCTTTGCCTGTTGCTTTCCAATAACCAGCATCAGTAGCCCTATTTGTCCTTAAACCAGTCGGATACTTCCTGTCTCTAACACAGAAGAAATACCATTCTTTTTCACCCATTTTAGCCCTCCCTACAACGAAAAAACAGCACAAACCATGAAGTTAGAACATGATCAAACGCATAGCAACATTTACCTCAGAATGAAAATTACGAAACGGAGGGATATTGGCATAAAAAGACTTACAAGGCAAATCCCATGGCTCACAATTGTTTAAATCTACCTCACCAATAGCTCTGGCACGGAAGTAGTTATCAAGAACCTTTTGAGACAGGTAGTGACTTATGAGCTCTTCATCAGTTGGATGGAACCGAAATCCCGGAGGCAATTCCATCTGCTCTTCCTCCTTACTAAACATAGAATTGTTTTCCATACCTTCAAAATCTCACAAGAATCTCTCGTAACTCTCAAATGCGTGCTTAAAAAAGCGAGCTCTTGCAGAACAACACAAGAAGAAAACAAATTTTCCAAACCTATCAAGTTTATGTTATTTGTGAACAAGAAAACCAACCTAGCTAGCAACAAACAATAAAACTATCGTTAGGGGAAAGAAGATACTAATTGAAAGAGAGAAAATCTGTGAACTGAAAAGGTTGTAATAGAGAGAGAGGGGGAAAGAAGATACTAATTGAAAGAGAGAAAATCTGTGAACTGAAAAGGTTGTAATAGAGAGAGAGAGAGAGAGGAGGGGGTTTTAGAAAAAAAATTGTTGTGCACAACACTAGCCCATAAATACTGGTTTTTGGAGAGAAGAAACGTGGGTGGTAAGGTAAAGCAATTATTGGTGGGTGGTTTTTAAGCTTTCATCTCCCTCTTTGCTAACAATTTTCTGTGATTGTCTTTTTCTTTTTTCGATTTGACTATGAACATGCATGTCAAGTCACTCTCTTTGCTCTCCTGCATGTAACAATGATATAACTCTTTTTATCATCTCGTAATTAAAACCGATTTTTCTTCAGTCTTTGTTTTCAATTAGGAATATATATTAATGAAGCAAACAAAAAATTAAAGTAATGGGCTTCAAAAGTCTTTATGTTAGTTGCTAACTGTTTAACCAAAGCTTATCATCTGTTCAAAATATGCATATATAAGCTTAAGCTTATAAGGGAGGCGAAACTAAACTAATCACAAAATTTGTTTTGTTGCTAAAAAGACAATAGCCCCCACAAATTTCATTATCCTAGCTTAGAGTTATCTAATTGTGCACAAGATCACAAAACCCATATCCTCATCTATCATCTAGAAGTCTACGGCCCCCACCAAGATATTTTAGTTCATTTTTATTATTTAATGATCACTAAAAAGCATTTTCTGGTTATTTTCCTATGGAGATCGAGGTGAAATGTATCATGGATTTTGGCGGCAGTCAGCCGTCGGCGGTGTTGCGTTAATTCTAACCTGATTGAACCAAACCAATTGATGACAATATTGGTAACAGTAGAATCTGGCTCACATGTACTGTTCCAAGTTTTCCAAATGGAGACATCATCCCCAGGAGTTGAAAAATTCCAGCCATAGTTAGCTGGACTTACCTTTGACCAAGGGGATTGGATCTCTGATCATTGCAATCATGCACGAGTCAAATAGGATTTATAAAGCATGTAGAAAACGTACTCCTGCACATGCTTTTTACTGTTGTGACAGGGAAGAAGATAGTGGAACATTAATGCCGTTGTATTTTTACCAAAACCATATACTGGATAATGAATTCGGGGTTGATACTTGAAACTTTGAAGAAATTTTATAATACAAAACCAGAAATTATGATATATATATCAATAGTTATTTTATAAATTTATTAAAAAATAGAGATAAATACATAAAAAGAAGAATGAAATAAGAGAGAGAAAATTAAAAAACAAATTGAGTTAATGTGAAAATCATTTTATCACTTTTGATGGGTTCGAATATAATTTTATATGTCTATCTCTCTCTTTCAAGTTTATATATATGGAATAATTATTTTATATATCGGTAATTTTATTTGTTTATCTCTCTTCTTCAAGTAGATCTATGAAATAATTATCGTATATGATTTCATAAATTCACTCGAAGAAGAGAGATAGAAACATAAAAAATAAAATAAAATAAAATAAGAGAGAAAAAATTAAAAAACAAATTGAGCGAATGTGTAAATCATTTTATCATTTTTGATGGATCTGGATGTAATTTTATGTATCTATCTCTCTCCTTCGAGTAAATATATAGAATAATTACTATATATGATTTCATAAATTCACTCAAAGAAGAAAGATATATATATATATATATATATAAGAAATAAGAGAAAATTAAAAAACAAATTGAGCGAACATAGAAATTATTTTATCATTTTTTATGGATCCAAATGTAATTTTATATGTCTATCTCTCTCCTTTAGATGAATCTATGAAATAATTACTTGTATATATCAATAATTACTCTTTATGTATTATAAAATTTCTCAATTCTTAAAATTTTTTATTTATTTATTTATAATTACATTATAGATAGTTTCATGATATACTCAACGATATTCATCAAATATAAATATATAATCTTTTTAAATACGTGGTAATATATACTTTCTTAATCAACTTTTTAAACGAGAATTCTATAGCGTTTTGATAATTGATTTTAAAGATCCACAAATTTCAAATTATAGAGTGGTCACCACCTATCTTATAATAATAAAAAAATAAAAAATAAAAACAAATACTTCCAAGAAAAAGTACAGTGTCTAATCTAATTTTCCTCGATGGCAGTTGTCAACCGAAGAACTTAACCTTTGTCCGTGTATGCATTGGGACAAGACATTTTATTTTATGCAATGTGAACTAATATCATGCAAACTGGTTTTAGGATAAAAAAAAAAAAATTAATCTGGATTAACACATAAATTGTTTTAAAATATTTTTTATTATTGAATAAAAATAAGTAAATAAAGTATTCAAAATATTTAAAAATATTCAAAAAGTAACTTACATTAGTTATTATATAGATAAAGAAAGATAAATCAGAAAAAAAACACATCCAAGCCTATTAATAAAAATATTTTTATCTAGGTTTACTCTTTTTTTTTTAATGTCTATTTTTATATAAAAATAAGAATTGTTAGTTATTTTTTGAAGAAGATAAAACTTCTCAAAATATCGTACAAACAGAGTTTGAATCATATGCATGGAAGTAATTAATTTGAAACTCAAAGGCGTGTATTAACAAGTAGTGCATTTTTTTTCCCACCAACTAACGTTATTTATAGCATATTGATCCATCATTTAGAAGTCGTAACTAACTGAAATGGAATTATTAAGCCTCTGACACCAATCATTGATTCCCATTGTGGGATGTATCAGAGTAACCACATGGATTTTTGTTGTGTTTGTAATTCTATAGGTTCTTCAATAGCACTATCCAGGAACAACATAAATAAGTTGACTTTTTTCCTTAAAAAGACAAGTAAATTCAATTAATTTTTTAGCTTATTTTTTTCCTGCTAAAAAAATTATTTCTTTTCAGAAAAGGTTTAATTTTCTTCACATATCTACAAAAAAAATATATTTTTTTAACATTTTCGTAATACTATTCATTAAGACAATGAATTATTAATTTTCTTCACATATTTACTAAATTTTTTATTAAAAATTTTTTGTAATAATAATCATTAAAAAGTTGAATTGTTAATTAAAAACATTAAACAATTTCAAATATATATACACTTTTCTAATTTCAAAAGGTTAGCCCAATGGCTGAAGAGGTATGCCCCCCCCCCTCCTCTTATATTCAAACTAAAGACTAGCATGTAGTAAAATTTAATAAATATTTTGGATTATATCAAATCCATATAAAAATACATCTTTAAAATTATCTAAAAAAAAAACAGATTGCAGGATTGACATGTAGATACACATAGATAAGACATTCAAATTTTGAACCTCTTAAAAGTGAAGGAATACTAATATCAATTATGTTATAATTTATTGGAAATTTAAATACTTTATTGAATATCAATAGCATAAATATTTTTTTATTATCTTTCATTTTAATTAATTAATTAATTGCACCTCACTCTATGAAGATTAAATTTAACCCTTAACCTTTATGGTGTAATTAAGAACTATAATTATACTATATCTAAAAACTAATTATGCCTCCTAAATTTATGAAAAGATTTTTACAAAATTACTTCTTAGAAATTTTCAAACACTAAATTGTTTATGGGATTCATCAATCTGTTCTACTAATTTAATTTTAAGATTTTTCGAAAAAAATATGTTGAAACAATAGAATATATGTCACAATCATTATTAGTAGCTAAAATTCTCATAACCTAACGAACCATTATTAACTAGGGGCTCTAGTACCCAATTATTCCCTTGTTTCTTTTGAAAAAAAAGAAAAAGAAAAAAGAAAGAGCTCAATGGTTCCCAAAGTTATTCCTTTCCCTTACGGGAAAGAAATAAATTATGGACTCAAGAACGCGTGGCAGCATTACTATTTAAGGTATTTCAATTACTTTGGCAACTTGCAATCCGACGGTGAAGATTAAATATCACAGTCAATGTCAACATCTGCCACGTAAAGTCCTAGAAAAAAATGAAATGACAGTGCCGCCATTGCGGTAAAGCAACCAAACAAGTCCACATGGAGACTTCTGATTAGTTGCATTGCAAAGATTAATAATACCAAACCTAACTTTAGCTTAAGTGGGATTTGACTATTTATCTAACTTAATCGCTGAGGTGGCAGTGTGGGCCATGCTTCCTCTGGACCGACATGAAGCAACGACAGGGGACATACACGCGGCTAGTGATGAATGGTTGCAAAGTGTTTACAAATGTTAGAAGAGTTAGGCTAAGGTTCGTAATAATTTTTTAAAGAAAAATTTGGCCTCCAAGTTTCAAGAATTGGAGTTAGGAACTATCACTTCCACTCGTGCAATCTGACTTTAAGAGATTGATTTCTTTAATAATCTGGATAGTCTCCCATCTAAAAAGTCGGTTATTAGGTCAAAGGATCAATAAAAACTAGCATATCCTAAATAATCAAGATGCCATCAAGTGCGGCTTGCATCGAGTTTGATGCCAGGAAGGGAAGAAATGCATATTGTTTCAAGCCGGAAAGACTCATCCAGTAAAATAAGGAGACATGACTGACGTAGTAGGAGTGAGAGTTTAGTATTCAAAATGAATGTTTGATGACTCTATTTAGTGCCTGTAACACAAGTTTTTCTAGTCGGATAAAAAATTCTTCAATAATTAAGTTAAAAGTTTGAAGGTGACAAAACCACTTGAGAATGCTATTTAGAAAAAACTTTCAACTATAGATTAACATTTTCAAATGAGAAAAAAATGTTTGAATTTTGAAAACTAGAACCCTTAATATTTAGAATTCTTATATAGGCAATGATGAGTGCAACTTATATGAGAAAAAGGATAGGATTGTCTTTTTCCTTCGGTTTTAGTGGTTAAATCAACGAGTTAATGACGATTTATGATCATTCCATCTAATATGTGACAACGTTAATGCTCGATGAGTGGTAATTTAATTGATATCATTATATGAGAGCATATTTATTAAATGTTTTGTCTTTCCTAATGATAGTAGAGGAAAGGAGGGTATTATTTTTTCAAGTCGAGGTGTTCCAAGATAAGAGAGTTCTTAAGACTTTTTCATATGGTAGCATGTCTTGTTAAGGTAATTATTCCTTACGGACTTGAGGTCTATTTGATTGATTAATATTTTTTGATGGGACTCATGGGTGATTTGGCTATGACGGGTGTGACATGTATGCTCGTTGACGAGACTAGAAAGGTAATTGAAAAGTACTTTCATTAAATGCAAGCCTTCTAGATCTCTTTGAGAGTTGCTCTTATTCTCCTTCTTAACCTTAGATCGTGCATGTGGTACATGCGGTGGCTTCCTAAAAAAAGGTATACAATTGCTTGTGCGTCCGTAATTTGACTTTATTTTTTTTTCTAGGTATATTAGTCTTTTCTCCAAAGTCTTTAGCATTTTATAAGGGTAAAGACTTGCTTTAAAATGGACTATGAGCTTTATCTCGTTACTATTGATCTCCAATTGGATGGTTATTGAGTTATCATTGGTTTGTTTATTGGCCATTATGCTCGTTTTAGGGAAGCTCAACAGTTGGCACGTGAAAAAATGCAAGGGTAGTAATTATTTATCTTTTTTTAATTTAATAAAGGTCTTACGACCAAGTATGTTATATTTTTTTCCTCAAGAGAATGTGCAAGAATAGGGGATTTGGGTTGCTTCGAGATTTGGATTTTGAGAGGTTAATATAAATTAGGGTTTTTTTACGCTACTTCCTTTTCCTCTTTCTTTATTTATCTCATTTCTAGTTATAATGCAACCTTCATCAAATGAGGGGCCTTTGAAGTCTTCTTTTGATCTTTACTCAATAAGAGCATTGCAATGCAAGTAATTGTTACTTATTTCTTATGTTATTTCAATAGAGAATATGACCAATACTAATTGGATCGAGTCCAATTCTAGGGCTTCTTTTAGTAGTAG